GGCCCACTGCCACTGAGAGATGACAATGGCATTGTCCTGCTGGGTGAGAGAGCTGCAAAGTGCCGAGCATATGCCAAAGCACTACACTACAAAGAACTGGAGTTCCAGAAAGGTCCCACCCCCGCCATTCTAGAGTCTCTTATCAGGTAGGCCATAAGCCCTTGTGATTGCTGTCTTCATCCATTGCCCCGTATCAGTTCACTGCAGTCACATGGAGGCTTCGGCTCTGGCATCTGCCTGTGGGTCTGGCCAGCACGTTTGAGTGAGCTCTGGTTGCAGATGATTCTCCCCTGAATTCTAGCCATTGTCTTTTTTGTTGGCCCTTAACACTTGGGCTGCTTTTTTGTTTTCCAGCCTATACTTGCTGGTCCCTATGAACTGAGCAGTTCTGCAACCATAGTTACCTAGGAAAGGCAGGTTTTATATGTGGTTAGATAGCATCCCCAAGACAGGAGGAAGATGGAATGATCCCTGCATCTCAGAGACCACCTGAAGGCAGGGTTGGGGCTTTATTGACAATATGTATTGGTGCTTGGATTCTATGAGTCAAAGACGAAGAGCAAAAACAGATCTGATGGTCTTTTTTCGCTTGATTTGGTTTCATTCTCTCCTCTTATAAATGGCTTCAAGTCTTCTGGGCTTAAAAAACACAAGTCATTGAATCAGTTTCCTACTGTTCCAAAATCACAAGCTCTAGCTCCTAGACAACTGTTCACTTCCCTTAGTGATTCTCAGAGAATAGTAACTCTGGACTCTAATTAGCTCTAAAAAAATGCCAGCACATTAGGTCATTTCACTACAGAGAATAAGAAAATCCAGCTAGTAAGTTCTTCCAACATGGCTGAAAACCTGCTGCTGTGTGTTCAGTGCATCATTCATCTGAGAGGATCTTCACTGGTCACATTCTATGCTAGCTCTGCTATAGGGTTGTTGTTGTTAACTTCCATCAAGTCGGCTACAACTCATTGTGACCCTACCTAGGATTTCCAAGGAGTAGTTGTTGGGTTTGAAGCACAGTACCGCAGGTGCAAAAAAGTCTTCCTCCTGATTTGGTGTTGTGGGTTAATGCTCTGGACTACAAGGTTGGTTTAAACAGGAAAGTTGGCAGTTCAAGCTCACCAGCTGCTCCTCAGAAACCCTGTTACAGGCTCACTATGAGTCAGAAATGACATGATTGCACTTAACAATTAAAAAACAACAACAAACACTTTTTAAAGGACCAAAAAGATAGAAATAGAGTCATGTTTCTGCTTAAGCAAATTGGGCGTTGCAGAAGGCTGATTTCTAAATATCATCTAGGAGCAGCTTTAGCTGCTGATGAAGAAGAGCAAATGTGAAACACCCTATCTCACTCTATTCAGTAATGCAGTCTCACAGATAGCTAATGGAAACCTGATATCTGTATATAATAACCTCAACATCAGATAACTCGTTTTTGCACAGTCATTTACTTGTTAACCTTCTTCCCTTTGATAGTTCTCATCCCCACCCCCCCATATTTGAGACAATCATAGAAGGATTAATGTTTATACGGATAGTTAGTAGAAAGAGTCATATAAGGCCTGGAAAAATGTTAGAGGTCAGTTAGCATCTTAAGCCAAATGTAATTGAAAACAAACACACAGATTATCAGATTGATCTTGCCTTTTCTTTGTTTCTTTTTTCTCTTCCCAATCACTGATCCAAGATAAATCCAGTACTCTAAGCTCTTCTTCAGGCTTATTCTTAGTCTAGTTTAGCTCAGCTTGTCTTTCCAATGCCTTTCTTTTTTGTTTTTGTTTGCAGCTTTTACTTCTGATTTTATAGAATTGCTTTTCCTAAGCACCCTTGTGGTGTTATGCCATCAGTGTTTCCTAAGAAAGGTTTAACAAACAGCCCAAGGCAGCACTGCTCTTAAGCTCCCCTTAGGCCTCTGGACGAGCCTCATGGAACCGCCTCTCATGAGTCAGGACCAGAGTGATTGTCCATTCTTGAACCTCTGCTCTTCAGAAATAGACTGAATTCCCTTCCTCACAGTGGCTATTGGAGAGCTCATATCTCCTTGCCTGCCCCACCTCCAAAAACCTGCAGCATCTTACCTGTTTTGAATATTACCCTCCGCTGCTGGCATTATTTTATTTTTCCTTCACCAGTTTGTCTACTTTTATTAAAAACAGATTGTTGTACTATATATATTTGAATCGATTAATTGCCTTAAATTCTTTTTCAAACAGCTCACTAGATAACTATGCATAAAGACATTTTTGTAGAGCTATTTCTTATCTTTTGTTTTTATTTCCAGAAGTAGTGTTCTGCTGACAATACTGTTCTCTTGCTGCTTGATCAGTTTATCTGTTTTCCTACCTGTTGACTTTTTTACCTTCTACTCCAGGACACAGAGCTCTGATAGCGGAGTGGTTATGAATTGGGCAGCTAACCTCACTGTCTACAGTTCGAAACTACCAGGACACATTAAATCCCACGTGTGATCCCCAAAACAGGGCCAACATTGAGGCTATTCCCATCTCGCAAAGTTAATATAGATTGTTGTTATGTGCCATGGAGTCGGTTCTGACTCATAGCGACCCTGTACAGGGTTTCTGAGGCTATAAATCTTTACAGGAACAGAAAGCCTCATCTTTCTCACGCGGAACAGCTGGTAGTTTCAAACTGCTGACTCTGAGGTTAGCAACCCTATTCGTAACCACTACGCTACTAGATTAAGTCTGTATAATTGCTTCTTAGAGGACCAGAAGATTAAATGTGTATTCAATTATGTAGAAACACACATGTACACAGACACATGGATATACACACACACGGCACTACTGTGGGCCTTTTATTTGGTTAGCACATGGAAGCATTAGGGTACAGTCTGGTGGCCTACTTTCCTTTCTCCATCACTGCCCAGCCTCTGCATGTAATTTCCTTTTTTAATTTTTTTCTGATTGATACACGTATAAAATTAAAACCAGGCCAGTGCTCGCTAGGTGGACATACAACTCTGACAACTGTCTATTGGGCCAGAGTTGTTCATCTTAAGTCTAGCTCTGTTCTGTACTGTGTTCTCTTCATGTGCCTTTAAGGACCTGTTGACCTTTGGGAGTACCGCTGGACCCTCCTTTGGGTTCCCATCATTGTTCTATCCTTGGTAAGGTCAGAGACAATGCTGGTCTCTCATCTCTGAATTCTTGGTACCCACCATCCACCTATTCACTGTCAGAAATGGCACCACTCTAGCTTACGTGGTTGGGGGATAGTTGGTGCATTTGTTAATAACTTGATTCTCTCTGCCACTTTCTCTGAGAAGTTTCTCCCATGAGTGAAGTAAACAACAGAGACGAACTTCAGAGTCTTAGCTTGTTTGAATCATGGGATGTACAGGAGATGAGAGAAAATAGAAAGAAAATATTCCCTCTGCCATAGGCAAACAGAGAATCCTATGCAAAGTTGAATAATTAGATGTATTCTTTCTCTCTTCTTCCTCTGCTCTCCTTTCAGCCCCTGATCTTTTTTTTTTTTTAAACTATCTCTTTCCTAGCAGTGTGATGCTGGCTGCTGAGCATCTCTTGATACTCCTGTGTACCATGGGAAGTTTCTGTTTGAACACCTGTCCCATGAGAAGTCCTACTCCAATGTAATTCTTCCTCATTTTGTTTCTTCCTTTGAAAACTTAAGGTTCTTATTCTTAAGGCTTAAAGTAGGGCCCAACCATCAATTATATTGTAGGTACAATAGCAAATACTGAATAAGAATAACAACTTGCCTTACATTGACTGGCTCAAGGGAATGGTCCTTTTTAGAAAAGAAAAAATGGCTGCCTAAAATTCTTTGATACCAGTGATGATTAAAGAACATAGGAGTGTTCGCTTACAGAGTACTTTGAAACCTTGTGGTGAAAGTGGGGGTCGGGGGGCAGAGTTAGTTAGATGGATGAGATCTAGACTCTTATCAGTGTCTGCTGTCCCCTCCATTTTGTCTTTTGGAATCTTGATCTTCCCTTTTCTTCCTGAATACTGAGACAAAGTCCCTTTCTCACTGCTCACCTTTTGATTTTTCACTGAAACTTTTAGCAGTATTTTAAGTGATAATGATAAGAATGAAGAGAGAAAACCAAGTTTAAAAAGAGTTTATTGTAAAAGGAAAAGAAACTGTGAATGTTGACCATACAAACTATATTTTTATAAAGCGAAGTACTTATGCACAGCATGACTTTATTAATCACAGTGCCATCTACCTTTATTTTTAGCCATTTCTTGTAAAAACAAGATAAAGGAAGCCCACTGAGCCATTTTCCTACAGAGTAAATAGGGAGAAATCTGGACTGACTCTGAACATTTTAAAGGCAGTCTGTGCAAGTTCCATGAGGGACGTATGCCCACATCCTTTGGTGACCCCCTGAAACTGTGAGGCCCACTCGAGTGGTCCTTTCAGTGCTGCACTGTGAAGGTGGCCATCAGGTGACTACGCGTCCTGGGCCAGCTCACCTCCAGCAGAACAGTGCTTGTACTTTCATAAAAATGTGTGGACTGGAGTAATGTTGCTGGATTTAAACATAGGCACTCCCCTCTTCCACCATTCTTTTTAACACCCTAAGCCTCTCCCTTGAAAATGGAAGCTACGTAGGTCTTTTTAGCAAAGGGATATGTTTTCTGCCCTTCACATAATCAGGGTTGTAGAGAAAATGGATGAAGTGACCTCACAATTAATGGGTTTTCACAGAAAAATAAGGTGGAAAAGACAAGCTGCTGCTATGTAAGGATGCTAGACAAAGAGCCCCTCAGTCCGGCCCCTAAGCATCAGTCTCAGGACTCACTGTGTTTTCACACCTCATCCCATTTGCTGCAGCATCCTTGGTACATCTCATTTTATTGTGTTCCAGGGAGACTTAATCTCTTTTTGGAAATTGTAGGTGATTTTCCATCCCTCCCCATTTTAAATACTCTGCTTCCCCTCCTCTGCTCCTGACCAGCCTCCATTTGTCTCCATCTCTATAACCCTGCTCCCCAGCAGGCCTCCTTTTAGTGCTTGTAGTCTTCTGGGCGGATTTTCATCTCCACCCGTTTGAGGGAGTAGGTAGACCCATGCCAGCCATACCAGGTGATGCCGTCCAGGTGCTTATTGTGCTCACCGAAGCGGTAGTAAACTCCATTGAGGTTAGAGTCTGTGCAACAGTTGTACCAGTATCCACCTGGCATAAGAAACAGAAGTGAGCTAAAAATGTCCTCCCCTTGGAAAGTGATGAGAGCCTCAGGGATTTGTTGTTCCTTCAGCAATAGTAGCAAAGGTACCAAAGCCTGAACATCAGGTCTACAGTTATAAAGGCATGCTTTCTCTTTAAGTGGAATTACAGGCATATTCCTGAACTTCCCTTCCCAAACCTCCAGATCTCACCTTTGCGGAGCTCTGCACACTTGTCCAAACAGTTGTCATTGTCCTTGTCCTTGGTGCTGAAGACTGTGTTGTTATGATAGAAGAGGGCGTCATTCCCCACATTGCCACTGTAGTTCCCCAGGAAGAGACGGTAGCTGTTCATTTCATTGGCCAGAACAAAGTGGCTGTACTCAGCATAGCGCATGTTGCCCTCCCAGTCCTGTCGGGGGAGATGTAGCCTTAGAGAAGCTGTGACAGAGCTTCCATTCAGAACAAGCAACCCCACAGCCACGTCTGTAGAGCTGTGAATCTCATGAGCCTCTATCACCTCTGCTCGTACTGACCTGGGACCCAAGACCCTCTTCTCCTGAGTCACCATGTGACTTTGATTAGCATCTTTCTATATTCCTTCGTTTCCCTGGCCTTAAGATATAGCTGTATATTTTTGTTCCATCCCACTCTGACTCAGATGTCAAAAGAAGAATGTGAGAATATAAAGTGTGTGCTTCTAGGCCGTTGACAAGGGCACCAACCAGTTTCAGTAAGTTTGGCATTTCAAGGGCCTATTGCCCCTCCAGAGTCATGACAGCACTGCCCCAACCCAGATGACTGCAGGACTCGATCTGGCCTGGGTCAGCCTCCTCCTCATACTGCCCGCAGCCCTGCTTTAGTGCAAAACAGGACAAAAGTATTTTTTCCCAACTGACAGCAACTTATATGAAATTCCTCATAAGAAGTACACAAATCTACAGTGCATAAGAGAGTAGGAGTAGTATCCCAGAGTTGTGTACAGTTGTGTGTGGCAGACCTGCCCCAGTGCCGGGGGCCCAGATGTGTGCTCACCTCCATCTCCACGCGCAGCCTGGTTGGCCGTTGGGAGAGCCGGTGGATATGCTCGTTCCCTAGCCAGAAGTCCCCCCGGATGCTGCCGAAGCCCTGTGTGTACTGCTTCCAGTCCTGATAGAAGGAGACAAGGCCACTCTTCCGTCTCTGAATAATGGTCCAGCCACCGCCTGAAGTCTCCATATCACAGAACACCTGGAGTAGAAGATGTTGGGTCAAGGACTAGCAGAGGCCAGAAGCGGGAGTGTGCAGACAGGCCTTGTAGCCTTTCCCTGCCCAGACTCAGTGATATACACTGGGTTGGCAAACCAAGGCAGAGTGGTGGTTTGCTGAGGAAGATGATCTGAATTGGTGGGGGGAGGGGTTAGGGTGTGCAGATGAACATACAAGTATACCTCATTTTATTGCACTTCACAGAGCAAGTCTAGTGGCACATTTCTTCCAAAAACATGTGCTCACTTCGTTAATCTGTGTCACATTTTGGCAATTCTCACAATATTTCCCAACTTATTCATAATACTATTGTATACATTCAGTATGAACATAACTTTTCTGTGCACTGGGAAACCATCTTTATTGCAATATTTGCTATATTGTGGTTGTCTGGAACTATACCTATGGTATCTACAAGGTATAGCTTGACATTTACAAGGAAGAAAATTCAGTATTTCAGATAAGCCTCTTTTCTCCTCCCCAAACAGTAACTGCTCTGGGACAGAGCAGAAGATTTAAACTAGTAATGTGGTAGGTGGTTATAAGAATTATCAAATATCTATTAAGGGTTTGGTGCTTAATTATTAGGACTTAAAGGGACAAAGCAGATTCCTGGATTCTTGAGTGTTTGGCTAGCTTTCTGGCATTTGGTATGTTTGCTTTTCTGTTTTGAGTTTCCCTTTCTCCATCCCTTGAGAGAATGGAGGGCAGATGGAACATCTGCATGTGGAAGCAATGTGTTGTAGCTGACCTCACCTCCAGCTCAGGGCTGCCCAGGAAGTCATCTGGAGGAAGCTTGTATACTCCAGAGATGCGGTAGTTCTTCTGGTGAAGCGAAGAGCAATCATAGATGGCGTCTACAAAGGGAGCAAACCAGCGGGTGAGCATCCAGACTCGGGGTGCGGGTCTTCAGTGACACATGGGCTGTTCCTGCTGCATTGAAATTGGCTCTTTAAAAATGGAGACTTCGTTCCTACTGTGGGATTCTAAACATTGTTAATTAGTAGACAGTGTCTGCATTTGGGAGAGGTGACTTCGAGAGATGGAGAGGAGGTGGGTTTTGGCTTCATGAGGGGCAGGGCAGAGTGATGAAAAAGCCCTTCACTTGGGTAGCATCAACCAGACAGAGGGAGTTTCAGGGGCCCTCTGAAATGAATTATTCTCCTGTCATTTTAAACTCTGAATTCTAGACATGCTATATAGTATGTGCCTGTTGTGGCTCCTGACATTGACTGTAACAGGTGCTCCTGTTGATAGATTCAGACTTTCTGGACAGCCAGCCAGATCCTCAGATAACTCCTGGGTATCTCAGCGGTCCGGTTTTGTTATTGGTGGTGGTGAGTTTTGTTGCTGTTTTACTGAGGGTAATGCCTATTGTCAACCAGGACCCTAAGGGAGATGGATTTTTAAATCTTACCTTTCCCCCCTTAGTCTAACATAACAATGCTAGAGTCTCAGAGGAAAATGAGAACACCTTGAGGAACACTTTGAGGCCCTCCCCCAGCAGTGTTACTAAAAACAAAGAAATGAGAGCATCGGCTAGTTTGCTCTGGGGTTGATTTACATGTTTTCTTGACCGCCCTTGGGGCTACTGCTTTATGCCAGATTTTGAATCCGTGTTGTGAATAGCAAAGAGCATTCTGGGAGGGATAGTCTTCCGTGATGGAATTCAAAGGGCCAGGAGAAGTAATACTTCTGCCATTGCAATCCTCCAAGGCTGTTTGGTTCTCATGCCAAGAACCCTGGGGGAGGGGAGCGGGGAGCCCTCCCTTTACCATCAGAGTGCTCCGTTATTGCCTTCTCCAGTGTCTAAAGGTGGCCGAGCAGCTGGTAAGAGAGAAGACAAATAGCGGATCTCCGTCGGGGTAAGAAGAGTAAGAGGCCTGGCAGGAGAGCTGCTGAATGGTGAGAAAGTCACCAGTGGCATGGTCACATTCCTCTGTTTGACCTGACCTTCTGCCTGTCTGGTTTCATATCAGTTCAACTGAAGACTCACTTGTCTGAAAAATGGCCTGAGGATACCTTCTATCCCAAACTGAGCTCAATGCTAGAAAAGTTCTTTATACATATTGGCTTATAGAACATAGTTTTCAAGCTTATTGTATGTTAACACTTCTCCATTTAGACTGAGGAGACGGTAATCAGTGACTGACTCTTAGACCCATCCCTCTTCCAAGAAGCTAATCATTTTTTTGTTCTTGACTTGGTTTCTAATGTGACCATCCATTTTTGTGTCAGCAAGAAAAGATCGATGGAATAATATGCTCCGTACAATGAATCATTTCAGAAAACAAAATTCATGTATGAACCTTAAGCTCACCTCTGAGCTCATCTGAACCAAGCCAACCAGAAACTACAAGTTAGTATGCGAGAGAAAACATTAACTCTACTTATTTTTCCTGTTGGGAAATCTAGGTTTCAGCATAGCATTTTATGATTGCCTGTATTATGTTGGGAGAATTTTATCTGAAACCATGAAGGAAAACAGCTATTCACATTGAAAAACCCTGAAGATCCCATTCCTTCCTGGATACAAAGGCATTCACTCTTCAAATAGCTATGGACAGTGCCTATACGCTTTGCAAAGGGAGCCCCCAAAATGCCATCCATGCCCTTCCCAACTAAATCTGAGGGGCACCAGAGAATGTCTTTGGCAGAACTTTACTTCCAGGGCAACAGGTTTTGACTTCCTTCCTGCCTCCTGGGAATGGAGGGTGGGTAGCCTGTCAGGAAGCAGTATCACAAGCCCAGCCCAGGAAGATGTGAATTCTGTTTCTAAGGCTTGCTGTGTGACTTTTAACAAACGAAATACTCTCAGTGTGTTTCAAGATGGTAGTGTGCTTCAGTTTGTAGAAACATGTAAATAAGAGACCTGTGGAGGTCCTGGGTATATTTATAGACCATTTAGAAGTCAAAACAAATAGCTCCCTCAGCCTTTACTAAAAGGAAAATAGGCCCAAGAAACCCCAAAAGAATCCCTAGTAATTGTGCTGATGCCCAGGGTATCTAAAAACTGTGCTCTAGATGGGGAGATGCTCAGCTGTGTGAGGGGCAGGTGAGCAGCGTGAGGACACGTCCTCCTTACCTGCCGAGGTGTGCGTCACTGTCTGCGCTGCCTGCAGCTGCATAATGTCGATCTGGTTGTTGATCTCGGAGTACTTGCCTTCGGCCTCTGTGAGCCGCACCTCTAGGCGCTTGCTGCTGCTCTCCAGCTCCATCACCTGCATGACCACACTGACCCAGTCCTTCTCCTGCTTCTGGCTCAGTTCACTCAGCAGGTTGCTCAGGTTGGCGATCTGGGCCTTCAGCCCCTTCACCTCCTCACAGCACGCAGCCACTTTGAGCTGTCCAGGAGTCTTTCGCTTAGGTGACTTCTGCAGCCACACTGGGTGGCTGACAAAGGCCACAATGAAAATGCAGAGCCAGGTCACAGCAGAGAGGGCCTTTTTCAGCATTGTTCTGGACCTGGATGTGTGTGTGTGTGTGGTGGGGTCGGGAGGTTGGGTATCTTCCTTTGGTAGAATGGATAATGCCCAGTTGAGGTTTGCAAAGCTGCAACAAACTATAAACTTACACTCAGTCTTGACTCTCTTGCCACTTTGCTGGTTTCTTACTTTCCTCCTTCTCAAAGCTTCACTCTCAGAAAGTAGAGCTTAAGAGGTGTCCAATAGCCCTGCTTCCCAAGCCTCAGTGCTCTACCAACTCTGCATCTTAAATATTGCTCGCTTCTTACACCTCCACCCCACCATGGCCATGCACAACATTTTTAGTCCCTCCCAGCTCATCTGGGAGGGTCAGGTGCCTGCTGCGTGAAGTCAGCGCAAACTTAGGCCAGAGGAGGAGGGGAGGGAAACAGGGGCAAGTCTCTTTCCTAGCCTGCACACTCTCTGAGACAAGAAGACTGCGAAGTTATGTGTTTCCAGAATCGCCTATTAGATTATGGCCCTGCCAGCCGCTGGCTCAGCTCTATCAGCGAGCAGGAGAGGGTCAGAAGAGTTTCTAAATTCCATTTTAAAGGTTATATAACCATGGAGTGAGGAGGGTAGGATAGGGGAAAAAGAGTTGGGAATAAGATTCTTTATTTAACCAGGGAGGCCTGTTAATGTAATCCATGCTGTTTCTGTGAGACACTGCTGTATTCTGGTATCCTGCTGTATGTACTTTTTACTCAGCTGGTCATTCCCTTCTCTGATCATGTTCGATATTGAACAAAACACTCATTCTACCAGGATTTAACACAATCTCACATTCAGAAATGTCCAACTTAGAAAATTTCTAGAAATAGAAAAATCAAGCTCTTTGGGAAGAAAAGACCAAAATCAGTGTCCACCAATTTTGCCCTGTTGCCTTTGTTTCTGTTTAAATACTTGGGCCAGTATTAGCTTCTCACACTTGGAGTTTTGCTAGGAGGTGTACTTGCACTGCAGCTGAGATGAAAATGCGAGAGAGTCAAGCTGGGTCTGGGGCTGATCCCCAGTACTTTATCAGTCCTTAGGCCCATCTTTGGGAAGAAGAGGATATTGTACATTTTTTAAACTATGAAAATAATATAGGTCCCTACTATAAAACTTGGAAAAGACATTAAAGAATCTTCATCACCAAATAAATACATATCTAGAGTCTCATTTTTCCCTACTCAATATATTTTACAATTCGAAATTACTGTCTCTGTCTGCATATGTTTTATAGCTAAAAATAAGGACTATTTAAATTTTTTATGTACTGTGTTTGAAAGACACTCCTCCTTTGAAAACAAATGTTAAGAACCTGGAATTCCAGCAAATGTTGTTAAAATAAGCTTTTCACTAAGAATGTACACAAAGGTCCCTCAGCCCTTAGCCCAGTCATTCTGTCTTGGAGCACACTGACGCTGTTTCCATATGACGGAGCCACAGAAGCAGAATTACTTGTAATGTTGGCCTTCAGTTTGGGTCCTTCCGCCACAGCCTCTCTTTCCCAGCAAAAGTCCTCTCCCTTTTCCAGTCAGGGCTTTTAGTGGCTCAGAAAGTCATTTCTATTAGGGCAGCTAGAGTTACTAGTTTTCCCCCTTGTAAGCCAAAGGACAATAGGGAGTCAAAGTGGAGCAGGGATTGTTTTCTCCTGTGCCTACTATAGGGCGAGGATGTTGCTAGAACACACCCTACAGCAACTTGTCATTGGGTTTATCTTTAGAAGAGTCCAAACTGCTGGCCTCTGCTCTCTTATTTGCAAATGCAGGCATACCTCAGAACTATTGTAAGTTCGCTTCTAGACCTCTGCAATAAAGCAAATATTGCAATAAAGTGAGTCAAATTTTGTGGTTTCCCAGTGGATATAAGGGGGCACGGTGGCTCTGTAGGATAAACATTGGACTGTGAACTGTAAGGTCAACGGTTCGAGCCCACCAGCTGCTCCATGGAAGAAAATGAGGCTTTTTGCTCCTGCTATATCTAACATAAGACATAAGTAGAAGACAGAAACTTTTCTTTAGTTGTTTGAAGTGTTTTGCTTTGTTTTTGAGTCGCTATGAGTTGAAACGGACTCAATGGCACCTAACAATAAACTCCTCCCCAAATTTGAGAAAAATAGCTAATTTTTTTCCCCAGTTTTTCAGAATTAACTGAGAAAGCTATAGAAAGCCTAGGTTGGCTAGCTGACAGATTTTCCTTTTCTCCATTTTAGTGATGGTCAACAAGGGTCAGCATGGTGTTCCTCGGGGAATTCCCATGCCAGGAGATTATCTGTTCTCCAAAAGACCTATGACCCCATAATGTCCTAGAAGTCTGAATTTCTGAAAGAAGAAAAATTAAGCCCTTGTTTTGAGTTCATAACTAAGCCAGTAGAGAAAACCATGAAGAATGTGGAAGACTTAAGAGGTTTTTCCCATCTAAACCCTTCTTCTGCCTGTCAGTAAACAGACTGACCATGAAAATGTGATTAACTGAGAAAATATGGGAAGCCTGGTTTGGCTAGCTGATAGTTTTTCCTTTTACATTTTAATGATGAGTGAACAAGGGTCAGCTTGGTGCTCCTGGGAAGATGTTTGCAAAAAATCAAGCTTACATTCTTCATGAAAAAAGCCAGCTTGAAAGTGCTCAAGATTTCGCAGTATTTCTGCTCTACTGCCTTTGAGTTGGCACCAAAGGCTAGAAGCATGTCGACCAGGCTGAGGATTTAGAGCTCTAGGGCCTAGAGTCAGTCTTGGTTTTTACACAACTTAAGAGTATCATGTCTCATTCTCTTGAACATGTCCCCGTTGAAGGGACTATCCCTTTTTTTCTGTCCCACCTACCTAAAACCATCACTTTCAAAGTTGGTGAACAAGATGAGCATTTTACCTTCAGCACCAAACTCTCAGAGTTTGTTGATTGAGTAAATCTCAGAGGAACCTGTCTTGTTAGTTTAATTAAATATTTCATATAAACATTTTACTTCTAAAATCTCCTAGTGAGTCACAGTTTCTCTTACTATAAATGTATATCTTTTTAATAATATGTGACACTTCTATCACTTGATCTTGTTTCAGTTTCAACTAAAAGCCCACCTCCCTCACAGAAGGTATTTTCATCTCTTTTCCAAGCCTTCTAATCTGTCAATTCTCCACACAGTGTGCCCTGGACCTATGAGAAATTACTTCTTTTGGGCCCTCTCTTAGTCTGTTACTTAATTGTGTTGTTGTTAGGTGCTGTCAAGTCAAGTCCAACTCACAGAGACCCTGTGCCCAGTCCTGTGTCATCCTCCTTACAATTGTTTTTATATTTGAGCCAGTATATGTCAGTTCATCTTGTTGTGGACCTTCCTCTTTTTCACTGACCCTACACTTTATGTTACCATCTATGTTGTTGAAAAAAGGTATTTGCAACAAGTAAGTCGTTGGTCTTGTAAAATTATTTCATGCAGTCTCCCGCATCATTTCTATCATCGAGACTGTGTTTTCCAGCTACCAATTCTTCCTTTTTATTTCCACCTTTCTCATTCCAAGCATGATGTCCTTTTCTATGGACTTGGTCCCTCCTGATAACATGTCCAAAGTGAGACTGAGTTTCACCATCCTTGATTCAAAGGAGCATTCTGGCTGTGCTTCTTCCACCACAGATGGTTTGTTCTTTTGGCAGTCCTTGGTACTTTCAATATTCTTTGCCAACACCATATTTCAAATGCATCAGTTTTTCTACAGTCTTCTATATTCATTGTCCTAACTTTGACATGCAAATGAGGCCATTGAAAATAGCATAACTTGGGTCAGGTGTGCCTGTTCCACAAAATGACATGTTTGCTCTTGAGCACTTTAAAGAGGTCTTTTGCAGCAGATTTGCCCAATGCAATACATCATTTGGTTTCTTGACCGCTGTTTCCATGGATGTTTATTGTGCATCCAAGTAAATAGAAATATTTAACAACATTCAATCTTTTCTCCTGCTATCATGATGTTATTTATTGGTCCATTTGTAAGGATTTTCCTTTTCTTTACATTGGGGTGCAATCCATAATAAAGGTTGTAGTCTTTGATGTTCATCAGTAAGTACTTCAGGTACTCTTTGCTTCCCACAAACAAGGTTATGTCATCTGTATATTGCCGGTTATTGATGAGTCTTCCTCCAGTTTACATTCTTCATAAATCCAGCCTCTTCTAGCATTTGCTCAGCATACAGATTGAATAAGTATGGTGAAAGGATACAACCCTGATACCCACTTTTCCTGATCTTAAACCATTCAATATTCTCTTGTTCTGTTCAAACATCTGCCTCTTGGTCTATGTACAGGTTCCTTATGAGCACAATTAAGTATTCTGGAATTCCATTTCTTAATGTTATTCATAATTTGTTAGGATACACACAAGCCTTTGCGTAGTCAGTAAAACACTAGTAAACACCTTTCTGGTATTCTCAGGTTTCAGCCAAGATCCATGTGACATTAGCATGTCCATCCTTGAGTTCCTCACAGTTTAGTAGGAGAGTCAAACAACTAAACTTTAGGACAGTGTGAACAGTCGGGGCACAAAGGAGGAGGAGGAATGCCTAACCCCAGATGAGGTCTGTCTGGAAGGCCTTTTCTAGAAAGTGATACCAGGTTTGAAAGGAAAAGGTAGAAGTGACCAGGAATGGGTGAGGGTGCTCTGAGCAGAGGTGTGGCACTGGGAAAGGCCTGGGCTTAGGAGAACATTAGTCGAGTGTGTGCCTTATGAACCAAGAAAGAAGAGAGAGAAATGGTGGCAGGAGTTAGCAGAAAACAGGAGCCAGGCTGGAAGGACTGGGCAAGTCCAAGTGAGGCTGTACAATCCAGATGACTGGCTAAGCAGAGGGGACCCTCGGAGGAATCCTAGGCACCTTTTACTCTGTGGCGCTTCTGTTTTTCTAAGTCTCACCAGGGCTTTTCATAGCTGTCAAACAAGATTTTTAATGAAAAAAAATGGGTGGTTTAGAAGATTAGAATTCCTTAAAATTGTCATGCATATTTATTAAATGCCCAGGCAGGG